TTGTGAACCACACGTGTCACGAGAGTTTCTCTGTCGAACGGGGCAAATCTCACAGATGAAAGGCGTGATTCATTGTCATTATTTTTCTGGTCTTCCTATCCCGGGCTTTTAGTTCTGCTTGAGTCCAGTCCACTATTCCAGCTGTATAACTAATGACTGGAATTGCCCAGGTGTTAATCACTTTGATGGTATTTCTACCAATCAGTTTGGACTTTAAGATCTTCTTTACTCTTCTGATGTATTCACTACTAACCTTTTTCTTGAGTTTAGTGTGCTTGATATTGTCAGCCTGTAGGATGCCCAGGTATTTGTATCATTTTCCTCATCCAGACTCTTCTTGTTATTTCCATTGAGCATCTTGATTCCTGCAGTTTTAACTATTTTTCCCCTGTTTATGGTAAGGGTGGCATGTTTGTCCAGTCCAAACTCCATTGCAATATCTTGGCTGTATATTTGGACAGTGTTGAGCAGCAATTCCATTTCAGATGGTATTTTTCCATACAGCTTCAGATTGTCCATGTAAATGAGGTGGGATAACCTGGCAGATGCTTTTGATGTTTGATAGCCATGGCCTGACTTGTTCAATATTGTTGACAGAGGAATCAGTGGAATGACAAACAGTAATGGTGATAGTGAGTCTCTTTGAAAGATTCCTCTCTTGATATTAACCTCTCCCAGTCTGTCAACATTGACCAGCAACTGTGTCTTCCATTGGGTCATTGATCTTTGCACAAAGCTTCTGGTGTTTCTACTGACTCCTGTTATTTCTAGGCACTTGATTATCTATTATCTATTATTATTATTATTATTATTATTATTATTATTATTATTATTATTCCAAAATGTTGGTTTATAATTGAGAAGTACATTCACATCTTTAAACCATATTGATCTTTGTAACACCATATTAATTAACACCATATTAATATACCTATGGATATTACACCAAAATGAGGCAAAAGTGGGAGAAACCCATGTCCTAATCACTCATTTTACAATTCCAGCATAATGAGTTTGACCTTTTAAATGATTCTGTGAGGTGTCCAATAAACATGAAAATCTTTTGCTGAATTGGTACAATGAATTTATTTAGTTCAATTTAGTTCAATTATAGATCTTGATATTGGGCCAATTTCCTCTGTATATGATAGATTTCTTTTGTTTTCTTATTTTGCTCTTTTCTCCTTTTTTTTTTTTTCGTTTTGGTTTTGGTTTTTGGTTTTTTTGGTGGGGGGTTTTTCTTTTTCCTTCTTTTCCTTCTTTTTTTTAATAAGCAGTAAAATCAAAGCAATAAAATCTTTTTTAAAAAAAGGAAATGAGAAAAAAGAAATTATAAATTTCCCCCATTTTAAGTGCAAAAAATAGATATCCAGTTGATTTGGAGGTGGAATCAGGAAAGAAATACTCCAATTCCTAAGAAAATTGTATTAGAATTCATTTGAGAATAATGGAAACACTTCATCTATCACTAACTTCAACACAACTCAGTTTTGTTGCATTTAGGCCACTGAAGCCACTTGCCCATAAGAACTCTGAAACAGTTTGAAAATATTGTAGAACTGTGCAATAATACAGTGTTAGCAGGTTTGGGTTCTGGTTCAGCTCCAATGTGTTTGAAATCATTGTAAAAATGTTTTTCCATTTGAAATGCTGAATTCTGTTGAATGTTAGAGAAAAAATCCCAACAGTAAGAGCAGCTTGATGGTGGTACCAGTTACACAAAGAAATAACTTCCCTGTCATTAGATGATTGTTCAGTAGAACCTGCACAATAATCTGATGGGGTGGGTTTAATTTGAATTTCTGGATTTGGACTTGATAGCCTATAAGGTGAAATCTGTCATAAAATCACATTGGAAATATTTTGTACAATTCTGGTTTGAAAAAGGTCTAAATGGTCCCTTCAGTTCTGTGATTCTAAGCTTTAGAACACTGGACATATTTACATGAAAACCAAGTCTTTTTTATGTTCAGCATGCTTTGGATCCTAGGCAATATATTTAAGATTACAGTCTTTGTTTCTTTCAGATGGCAAAGTATTGGAGTGGTACCACCTTGCTTGCTTATACTTGCTTTATATTGGAAAGGGAAAATGTAAAATCCCTTAGATTAAAACAATATTTTCTAACACACAATTTGCTATGTTTTTACCAAGTGTTAGCAGTTCTCCATTAAAATGACAATTAGTAACCATAAAAAGAATATTAACACTATTTTGTCAAATCCTAGACCAGCCTTTCTCAACCAACTCTACTTCAGAGATACTGGAAGATTACCATTCTTAAAATCATGAAGCTTATGCTGGTGGGTAATTTCTAGAGCTGCAGTTCAAGCACATCTGAACAGCAACAAGATAGAGGAGGCAGTCCTGGATCTAGTGGGTTATTATTTTAAAGCAAAGCCATTGCAATGGCAGATTTCTTCACAGTATATGCTAATCAGGAAAAAAGAAAGAAAAGAATTGGAACACACAATGTAAGTGATTACTTATTTTTTCACCTATATTTCTCCTTTCTAACGTGTCAATGATACTTTTGAATATGCATGGAGATTTTTAAAAGGATTAATAAAAGCTGTAACAAACAACCTTAAGGAAGCAATCTGTATTATTTATTGAGCATGCCTTACACCAGCTCAGTATATGAACTGAATGTTAAAACCATTAACTTGACTGCTACAGGAAGTATTGAATTACTTCCAGCCTCACTTGCAAGGCCTGAAATCGAGGGAATTATGTATGTCCATATACAAAGCTCCTTTTAACAATGCACATTTTTTTAAAAAAGATCCAACACTCCGTTGTAACAAACCCAATGGGACATGATGGCATCCAGGCAGAGGGAGACACAGTATGTAACAGCTCTAAGTCATGCATTAAGAAAAATCAACCCTTGTTTTTTCTTCTTCGTTCTCAGGATGCTTTAAAATGTATGTGTGTATGTATGTATGTATTGTAATCACTGAGGTAGTGCAGACTGCTACATTGTTGGAACTTTTTTTTAACACATCCCGCATCGGTGGCTACCCTGACTTTCTAAAAAGGCCTAGAGAAGAAGCTTCCTCATATTGGTTTTCCCTTGGATTAGCATATGTTTGTGAGGCCACCGGGCATAATAAAAGATCAGAAACTCATAGGGCTTTTAATCACCTCATAACAAGAGAATTGCACAGGAATTAAGCAGGGGTGAGGGCTGCCAAAAAAATAATGAATGAGAATGGTTAGGAAAATAATGCAGAAGTCATTCTCAGGGCAGCCCTAATATTATGCATTTCATCCAGTCATTTCAGGATTGTTATAGACTAGGAAATGACTCTGATTAAGAATTAAAGCAAACATTTAAATTTAAGGTTGCAATCCTGCAGATGCATAGAAGCTCCTTAGAGTGTACTTTGAATAAATGTAGCTAAGATTGCACTGCCTGAAAACATATGTTCCATATGTTTAAATCAATACTGTCACACATCAGAACACCTATCCTCATCTTTGAGAGAACATAGTTCAACCATAGCAGAGGCAAAAGTCTAATAAATGATAAACACCTCTCACTAGTTCACTTTACTTCTCTTTCTCCTAGACTGTATTTAGGAAAGACTAAAGTGTCCTTTTAATAGTTCATTGGTTCAGTACCTAGTGTGACTGCTTTGCATGGATTTCTGAGCAGGCCATGGCGGAGGAACAAATGAATAAATGAATGTTAAGACATTGAAGTGCTTTTTTGACATTCTGATGAAACAGAATCTGCAGAACCTCTTGATGCTTGGGGGCAGAGACAGAGAGAGAGATTCCTTAAGAATCCTTCATATATTTCCCTAAGTTTTGAAATGATGTTTTTCTGTGACTCATCAAATATTTAATTCTGAGTATCCTAAGAAATTAAAGCAGTTTTATTATTCTTTGTGGGGAGGAAATTCTATTAGCTGACCTACAACTGATTATAAGAGTTACAGGAATCTACTTGCTCAGCACTGAAAATCAATAGAATCTTCAGAATCTTCAATATAGTACTTTTGTTGTTTTCAAAAGTAATTTATTTTAGAAGATGCCATTATAATATATAAACTGAAAGCATATTAAAAATTATGCCTTATTATACTGCATCTTCTTTTTAGGGATTAAAATATGGCAATATTGAAGCTTTATCACTTTTTTCTATGCCTTAAAATATAATTTCGTTCCTAGGTGAGTTAATTAGAAATCTAAATGCCTTTTATCGTTCCTTATTTTAAACATGAACTGCCAGATACTTTTGAATTTTGAATGAGAAATAGGGAAAGGAAAATAAGATGATCTATCAGTCAGTAGTACAACTGAAAAAAACCTTAAGGCAAATTGCTCATTGTTCTCAGGAGAGAACTTGAATTCTGCATTTCTACAGCTGTTGTAACACTGCTTACAGGGAGATCGTGAAAGGAACTACAAAAGACATTTTTTAATCCAACCAAGATGGTTTTCTGTATCTAACAGAAAACTAATTATTAACATCATAAACATATCTATCACGCTGACATGGCATCTAGAAAAAACCCATTTGGGAGCATTCTTGGCCAAGTTTCTCAAGCAATAGTATTTAAATTGCTTTTGACACATTTAGGTAGGATAGGTTGACAATATAGATAGCAAAAAATATTTTATTTGGTATGCAACAGCAATCAAGAATTTGTGCTTGCTATAAAGCATGTCAGAATAATAGATGGTACTCTGAGTAACAGAATTTAATTTAAGCAGGTTAGGTTAAAAAAAAATCACACCTCACTTTTATTTATTTATTTATTTATTTATTTATTTATTTATTTATTTATACACACACACACACACACACACACACACATATATATATATACACACATATATACACACACACATACACACACATACATACATATATATATATATATACATACATACATACATACACATACATACACACTCACATATACATACACACATACACACATACACACACACACACCTGCAAGAGTTTCTGGCAAAGAAATCCAGAGAAATTCTATACTTTCAGTGCAGCAAAGGACAGTTGCTCACAAACAGTGCAGTGGCTCTAGAATATTAGATTGCTTTTCTTCTAAGTCTGGTTTATAGTTGTGATTTTCTTCCTTTCAAGAGATAAAGAAAATACATAGCTTCCAAGGAATTCCCTATGGTAGTCAATTAGGCTTTCATTAGTGGTCATCTAGATTTGTACCACAGCACTCAGGAAGCCTTATCCGACATGGCCAGTGGCCGAGCGTAGCCACTGCTGCAACACAGGAGCCACTCACTCTGAGTTACAGAGTTGATTCTCACCCAAGATTTCCCAAGCAGAATCTCTCCCAGCTCCTATAGAATTGATTCTCACCAAGCCTACTATCAAAACACCCACAAGCAGGCGGAGCTCTATGGGCTGATTTTCCTCCCATCCAAAGAATAAAAAAATTATTCCACCTCTGTGAACTGTTTACATGCTATGTATGTTGTTAGAAACAATGTACAAGTAGTCCTCACTTACTGACCACTGGAAAAGGGATCATATATTTGAAACATGCAGCCACATCTGCCTTTGCACAAGTCTCATGGACCACCTCCTTGTGGCTGCTTGATTCCTCTTGGACCTCCCCTTTGCTTTCCTGTCCAAATCCAGTCTGCTGGTGAAACTCCCCAACCCCTTTCCCCATTGGCTGAGTGTGCCAACCAAAACAAATCCTATGGTACCCTCAAGCTGCCTCCTCCTCTGGTAGCTACAGGCAGCATGCCAGCAGGACATCGTCCAGGCTTTCTCCCCTTTGCGTCTCACCAGGAATCTTTCTGGCTCTCCTTTAACTCGAAGGCTTTGCCTCTTACCTTTCGTGCTCTCAAGTAAACTTTCTGTCTCTCTCCCTTTAAAGCATTGACTCCTATACCCCTTGCATCCTTAGGTTACCTCTTCCTCTCTTTCCTGCCCAGTGTCTCCAGGCCAATCTGCTGCTGCTTCTCTCCCTCTGTCTATCGCTTTATGTCCAATCTGCTATTGTCTGGTGGAGTCCCTGAACCCACAGCCCCGCAACAGAATCTTGTTTCCTGTGTTTTTGCCTCCTTCCAACTGCAGAGCTGTGCAACTAGATTTTTAATACCCAAGCTTTTCAGAGCAAGCCCCCACCAGTTTACACCAGATTCATTTGGGTTACACAAATATTTGGGAACTGTAGCCCCAACACCTGAAGGTCATTTGGTTACCTCTGCTACAGAAGCTATATAACCCAGTCATGTGCATGCTTACCCAGAAACAAATCACTACTTGATCTGTTTTCTAGAGAGATTACAGAGCATTGCAGCCTTCAACTCATTCTGATTTTGTGTATGTGTATTTTAGTATGTGGAGCAGAAGGACTTTGGTGATCATGGTTTGCAGCCAATCATCCTCTTACAGCAGACCATGTCTGGTCTTGCTTATCTTCACTCTCTCAATATAGGTAAGACCTTTTATTTTAAGGGGCAACTTTCTTGCTGCATTTCCTGAGGAAAGAATTAAAGGCTTAGCATGGAAGGGGGGCCGGATAATATTTTTCATGAAGTCCAGGCAACTTCTGGGGTTGTGAGATGGAAAGTAAACAAGTTGAGGAAAGAGCTACTGTTTTGTCTGATGCCAACGTTACATATTTGGCTGGAAGTTGATGAGAAGATGAGAGGTCAGCATAATGAGGGGAAGCTAAAGAACAGAACAGATCCTTTGGTGAGCTGTATACCCCATGAAGTATGGGGTTGGCTGTCTTCTCATCTCTGTAAAAGGAAAATGGGAAAGTTACATGTTAATAAAACAAGGTCATTTCTGCACTAGTGACTTTATATCATTACCGCAATGGCTGGGGGATGCTACAAAGAGTCTGTCTTTGTAGCATCCCTCAGCCATTGTCGTAACAATATAAAGCCTATACTCAGGACTGTTATAGTGGCACCACAGCATTTGGATGACGGTAGATGATGCCATAAATCACCAGTGTGGGAATGACCCAGGTCTATAATAAGACTGGTTTTTGAGATGAGCACTTGAAGCAGTCAGAGGACTCTTCTTCTCATTTAGCGTCTTCCCAATGCCTTCCTCTTAGTCCACAGAGACCTGAAGCCCCACAATATCCTCATCTCTATGCCGAATGCCCATGGCAAGGTAAAAGCCATGATTTCTGACTTTGGCCTCTGCAAGAAGCTTGCGGTCGGCAGGCACAGTTTTAGCCGCCGGTCTGGAGTACCGGGCACTGAAGGTTGGATCGCTCCGGAGATACTGAGTGAGGACTGCAAAGAGAACCCAGTAAGTTGGAAGCCTTTCGCTCACTTGTTCCAGATCTTTTTTGCTGGGGTTTCCTTGAATAGGGCTTTGAAATAGGGCACACGTTCATGTAATGGCCTCTTTTTTCTTTCTCTCACGTGAAAAAGGCGAGAAGCAAGGCAGGATTTCCTGCAGAAGTTTGAAAGTAGCACCTCTAGGACAGAGTTTTCCTTCTTAACAAGAAAGTCAGGGAGATCTGATCCTTCTTTAGAATAAAGTCAATCTTTATTACGGTCCTAGACCAGCCTAAGTCTCTTTAGATAAGTGTAGATCTTGGAGTTCAATCAGGAATTCCTTTTGGGGTGAAGAAAATGGAGGAGGGGCGAGGAAGGAGTGCTTCCAATATCTCCTTGGATCAATTGGGAGAATCAAGTCAACAATAACCTGACCTTATTGTTTTGGGTTTCAGCAAAATGCTGTAAAACAGTAGAGATGGATCTGTTATTGCTGAATTTTTTTTACAGTATTTTACAGTTCCAGCTTCTTCTCTTGTCTTTTTAAAGTTTAAAATCTTTCAAAACCTGCTTAGGTTCTATAGATTTCAGTTTTAGAGTGAATTAATAAATTGAAATCAAAGCAGCTGTTCTCATCCCTAATACAGCATTCAAGGATGAATAGCTGCTTACATTATTAGACTGAGCCTTTCAATTTAGCAGAGCACCATACAGTGATTTGATTTGATTTAAACTCAAGATATTTATTTCCTTTGTGTTGAGTTGTATGTCACAACTAGAGCTGCATGTTGAGAAATAAGGTGCATGTTTTATTGCTGAGTAAAGAAAAATTTTCAGATGTGTTTTGAACAAAAAAAAGAAAAGGAGGACACTCAGAAAAGTAGTTCAGGGAAAGGGGATAAACATTAAAAATTTCAAGAAAGTCCCTTGTGTCAAATAGTATTGTACTCTCAATACAAAAATATCTTATATTCTTTTGAAATTAAAAAAGTTTTAAATTTTGATTACCTAATATGTATTTGGCTAAATGCCAAGTTTTGGTTTGTGCAATGCAAACTCTGTACAAATTCTGTAAATTTTATTTAACCCATTCTTTATTTTTAGAATTTCAGTAAGGAACTGTAAGTAATCTATTTAAAATTCTCATATTTCTTACATCCTGGAAATGTATCTTTCTTTATATACCCAACATTTGTTTGTTTATTTGCTGGATTTTTAAGGCTGCCCAACTCCAAAAAGCTGCTGGGCAGCTTACAACATTGTTGAAGATACTGTGTGGTGATCTTTTTTGAAAATGGTTCTCTTGCAGACCCACACGGTGGATATTTTTTCAGCTGGATGCGTTTTCTACTATGTGATATCTGAAGGCAACCATCCCTTTGGCAAATCCCTGCAGCGGCAAGCCAACATTTTACTCGGCGCGTACAGTCTGGATTTCCTAGATCCAGAGAACCATGGTGAGCAGGTTACGGTTCCCTTGTTGCTGTGGTTGCTGGTTTCATTATTACTGTCGTCCTTGTTTGTGGCATGCATACCTTCACTTGTCCAGCATGGGTCTGTATGCTGCGGGTGAAATCTGTTGATTGACTTGGAGTTGTATGTTGCATTCAGGAATTTTCTGTGTGTATTGTATGGAAGGTGTGGTAGAATCTCACTGAGTTCTGTAGAAGGCTGCTGAATTCAACGGTGGATTTTTTTTGTGTCTTAACTTGGTTTGTTCAAAGACTGGGTTCATACAGCATACTAAATTGAAGCACAGGCCTTTTAAAAAAAACCCTAATGGCAATAGGTATGGGTATAGGTTTCTGTAAATTATGTCTCACCGTGTTTATGGGAGAGACACTCTTCGTCTGGCTCCTCTGATGAGACCTGTCCAGTATGGTTGAACCTCTGGCATAGCTCTCATCCTCCTTGAAATACGCAAGCCCCACAACCACATCAAGGTAGTGCCTCACTGCGGTGGTGTTGTTGTTGTTATGGCTCCCAAACAGCTGAACCACAGCAATCCAAACGCACATTAGCTCTAATCTAGTGCATTGTGCAAATCCCGCCAAAGTGGACTGGATTGCATTTGGATGACGCAGCAAACTGTACTTTGGCTTACCGATGAAGCAGTAGCGTTCTGGTCCAGGTGACTTTGATGGCCATCAGCTCTTCCTGCAGGAGCGGTTAACAAGACACAGGCAAAGCCACCCAGAATGTATCCATATGTTATCCAAATCAGCCGTAGAAGGAACCGATCATTGTTTTTTCTGATCACTGGGATTGTAGATTTTGGTTTGCTGTGTCTTCTAAGGAGGAAAATACTAGGCCTGTAAAAGTTTCTGAATAAGCCAGTTTGTTTTTTTCACAGAGGACATTGTTGCACGTGACTTGATAGAGCAAATGATAAATACGGATCCTCAGAAACGACCTTCAGCTAATTGTGTCCTGAAGCACCCCTTTTTCTGGATCTTAGAGAAGCAGCTTCAATTTTTCCAGGTTGGTCATGATTTTTTCTGTCAGCTATTTAATTTTGTATACTATAACTCTGAATTAGATTGCACTCAGAAATACAGGTAATTCTTGGATTATGACAGCAGTTGGGACTGCATCACTTAGTGATGACAATCCGGGCAGTCCCAATTGCCATTGTAACCCCAAGACGCACAGGTCATTAAGCAGAAAGCGGTGGGAGTCCCCAGTAAGGAGCGTTGGGGTGCCGCAAGGGGGTGGGGGTGCTGGGGGAAGCCCTGGGAAGGATGGCGCAGGCCATTTGTGGGTTGGGGGAGGCCGGGGGAGGGCTTGGGAGGCCTGATGCAGGCCACATGTGGGCACAGGAAGGCGGGAAGGTGGATGGTATGGCATGAGTGCAGGAAGGCCAGAGGGTGAAGATTTGCAGCTTTCCTTGCCGGCTTCCCCATTGACGTTGCTTCAAACAGTCACTGAACGAGTGGTCAGTAAGCAAGGACTACCTGTAGCACTTCATACTTTCTCTTGCTTAGGATGTGTGAATGATGCCTTGATTAATGGTCTGAATAAATTATGCAGAATAATAATGCTAATAGAATGAACTATGCAAAATTTGCAATTTGTACCAGTTAACTCTCTCTACATCTATGCAGGCTGCAGAATTCATATTTTTTGTGAGAGCAGTTTAAACAGCTTGGAAATCTACATTTTAATTGACTCTTTTGGTGTAGAGTACATCCTCATCTATAAAGCATTTATAGATAAATATAGCAACTAATTATTTCACTAAATGTATATGTTATATAATATACGATAATATTATATAATTATATGCTTCAGAGTACAGATTGAACCCTTTCTAACTCTTTTGGAGATTAAATACCAAGGACCATAGACTAGAATTATTTCCTTACCTCTCCTGATCTCAGGACCCCCCTTGCACTAAAGAACTGCTCTCGTTGGTTTAGCCACAGCTTTTGAGGCACTGCTGCCAGTTGTTGGGTGCCTACTTGCCCTTTGAAGGAAGGAAGGTACCTGTAGGGCAGGTCCCTTTCTCAATTTCTGGTGCTTCCTCTTTTGCTCATGGTCATGAGCTTGATCAAAGCATAGATGCTGCTATCATATTATGGGGAAAAAACCAAGGATGTAGTGAAAGCAACCATAGCATTTTTTTATTTGCCCATTGGAGAAGCTATTGAGGCCCCACCTCTCCAAGCCTGTGGTAGTGGCACTTCTGAAGACCACGAGAGAGGCAGAGGCAGAGCCTGTGGGGTGGCTCTCTTGGTTGCTAGAATGCTGCCTTATAGGTGAAGCACAGATGACATGACTTAGGTACAGGTAGTCCTCAAGTTATGGCCATTTGTTCAGTGACAATTCAAAGTTATGGCGGTACATGAATGGTACTTATACCTGGTCCCCGAGTTACGGACATTGCAGTGCCCCCATGGTCACGTGATCAAAATTTGTGTGCTTGGCAGCCCACCCACACTTACGACCGCAGGGGCACTTCAACTCCCCCCACCTGCCTATCTCTCCTCTATCTGTGCCCTTTTGGCCCCCTGCACTGACCAGCTGACCTTCGCCCTCTTCTTGCTCCTGCTGTTGACCAGGCATCCCCAGCCTAGCTGCATGAGGCTTTCTTCCCAAGGTCATGTGTGGCAATTTCCTCACGAGACCTGGGGAAGAAGGCCTAACATGGCCAGCAGCTGCCTCACGAAGGGCTAGGCCAGGCACACCTTGTCAGCAGTGGGAGCAAGAAGATGATGAAGGTCAGCTGGGGTGGCAGAGCGCAGGGCAGCAGGGGCCTCGGAATGCAGGGTGGTGAGGGCAGCTGGGGCTTCCTGGGCAGCTTTGTCCTATGCCACATTGCACTGCTGGGCCAGGCTGGGGCAGCTGGGGCTTCCTGGGGCAGCTGGGGCTTCGCGCCACGCTGCTGCAGCTTCACACTGCGCTGCGGCTTAGGGACTTCTTGCAGCTCCAGAGCTGTGGCGTGCCAAGAAGCCCCAGAGCTGCAGCATGGCAAGCAGGCCCAGAGCTGCATGGTTCTGGGGCTGCTTGCTGCCCCGCAAGGCAGGGTGTAGGGCGGCCAAAAGGGCAGAGATGGGGTGGATAGGCAGTTGTGAGGAGTTGAAGGGGAGGCATCCCTTACCTTGGAAGAACTGAGGCTCGGGGCTGGGAGGGACCAAGCCAGGAAAGGCTTGGACTGGGATGGGTCCTCAGCTAACAACTGGCAGAATTCAGTTAACAACAGCAACAGGGAGTTCCAGGATTGCTGTTGCTAAGTGATGCAGTCACGTGACATCACTTAGCGATGGAAATTCTGGTCCCAACTGCCATCATAACTCAAGGACTACCTGTACTTTCTATCCAGGTCTGTAGGGCCAAAGACTTTGGAAGGAAGAGGCATCTGCTGCTTCCAGTAGCCTTAGGAAGGGAAAGAAATGGGTGGGAGCCCATATATCCTGGAGCCAAACCTGATGTGCTGTAAATATCTGATATTAACTGCAGGATGTGAGTGACCGAATAGAAAAAGAATCTTTAGATGGTCCAATAGTGAAGGAGCTGGAGAGAGGAGGAAGAGCTGTGGTGAAGATGGACTGGAGAGAGCACATAACCGTCCCTCTACAGACAGGTTCAACTTTATTTTCCTTACCTTCGGAGAGAATTAGTTGCTGCTCTTGAAGCTTGACATTAACATTCAGGTCACTCATCATGTGTACATTTAAAAGAAAAAGACTAGCCTGTGTAAAGACAGATCCAACTGTTATATTGTTTTACTTGTCTAGAAAGCAAGAAGGAAAAAAATAGCCACAGAGGCAGTTATTTTTAAATGTCATAATTTGAATGTCTCTTTGCAGATCTTCGAAAATTCCGATCCTATAAAGGGGGCTCAGTAAGAGATCTCCTGCGGGCAATGAGGAACAAGGTACGTGTGTTTGGAGAAGCTGATTGCTTCTCGGATGCGCCTCTGGCTTCTAAATATGGGGAATCATGCCAAGATGCTGATTCATTGTCACAGTTCCCTCTCCTGTTCACATAAATTGCCTTTCAGCTGCCTAGGAACAGTTCTGATCATGCCTTTTCTAAAATTTCTATTTGAATAAGATATTTCTGTGGGGCTAAATAAATAAGCTGCAGAAGATCGATTAAAAGAACGTTTAATGTCAATATGAAAGGCAGAGTTCCCTGAAGTGACCTTGAGCAACAGCTCTAGAAGAGGACGTATTGTCTCCTGATCAGTTTTCCCCAGTGGAGGAAGCACACAGGGGCACTGATCTTTTTCTCCAGCAGAGTAAATAACAGTTGCGAGGGGCTGCAAGACCATGAAAATGGCAGTGGGCAAAAAGAAATAAAGCCTTCCTTTTCCAACAGAAGACCAAGTAGAGCGGTTCTTCTTTAAAAAATACTCAGGAAACTCAAAGGTTTCCCCTATCTTAGATATCCTGACCTGACAAAAATTTGAGAACGCTCGATATAATATTGCAGGCAAACTATTACAAAAGACTACATTTTAAAAATGTGGATTACTTATAAACGTAAGCCAGCCTGTGCCTATCTTTGTCCCTTTCTTCTTCTTACAGAAACATCACTATCGAGAATTGCCTCCAGAGGTGCAGGAGACCCTGGGATCTGTCCCAGATGATTTTGTATGCTACTTTACGTCGCGCTTTCCCCATCTTTTGCTGCACACCTACAATGCTATGCGCATCTGCTGCTCAGAAAGACTGTTCCAGCCTTATTATGTGCAGAACTCAGCCGGGCAGAATTTTCCAGGAGATGCTGTTTGACGGCTGGAGTCGTCTTGTACATCCGGGGCTGAGCAATCAGCCTGCCTTAGCAGAGTCACTAGACAGACTGTAAAGGAGTAAACCAAACCAAACCAAACTCTTTGGAGACAGACAGACTTCTCAAATGTGCCTTGTACTCTGCCTGCTCTGACTCAGGAACAAAATTCCAGGTTGGAATCGAATCGAAGAAAGAAGGAACGGTAGTAGGACACGGGTTTCTAAAGCAGGAGCAGTCAGATGGAGTTCCTAGGAAGAAAAGCAAGGTGGACATCATGATTCCAAAGACACCTGTCCTGTAGGGTCTTCTAATCCTGGCATTCAGGCCTTTTTACTGCACAGAATGGTTTTTAAAAAACAATTGAAACTATGACATTGCCAAGCACCTTTTGGATCTCAGGAAGGATCCTTTTAACTGTAGCATGCCGTCTCTGTCCATGATGTACCACTGCCAGCTTGTGTACTTGAAGCAGATAGGAAATAATTTTGAAAGGGTATGTTGTAGCTTCAACGTGCTGGATCCAACACAAAAAATGTGCCCCCCGCTCCCTGATACTGGTCTCCAAATACTTTTGTGCAGATCTAAACTTGTCCTTGAAATCACCCATAGGCGACTTCTGTACAGAGCTGCTAGCTTACAGATACGCAATCGTAACGTTAAATACTACAGAGATGGAGAAATCTATTCCAGTGCTATTTCAGGTTTCTTTTCAAGAATGTGAGTGTTACTGAAATGCAAAATTGACAAAGTGCTTTATTTCATTTGTCAGATTAAGGTGGTAATCATATACTCTATGCCCGTGTTTCTCGACCATGGGAACTTTAAGATGCGT